GATGATGAATTACCTGCCGTGGCTCCGTTGCGTGCAGACCTGTGAACACCTGGAATGGGAGTCAAGTCCAAGGGCAGGAGATCAGTGGAAGTGTTGCCAAGTGGGCGTTTGCTTGGGTGGGGTACAGCTACAAAAGCCTGAGAGCCAGCCCTGGCCTCTCAGTGTGTGGGCTCCTCTCTGGGCAGCTCCAACATGCTGAGGGCACTGCTGCTCCCCTTCCTGTGCCTCCTGAGTCCTGCCAGCGCTGGGAAGCTGCTGGTGATCCCCATGGAGGGCAGCCACTGGCTCAGCATGAAGGAAGTGGTGGCAGAGCTGAGCAAGAGAGGGCACGAAATTGTGGTTCTGGTACCGGACAACAAGGTATACATCGACTCCTCAGATGTCTATGACTTGAAAACCTACCCTGTCCCTATCAAGAAGGAAGAGATGGAAGAACAGATACGCTCATTGGGTCTGATGTGCTTTAGTGAAGAGCCTTTCCTGGTCAGATTTTGGAATACTCTGAAACATTTCCAGAAGACCGCTGCCCTGTTTGAAGCCGCCTGCAGATCCTTGCTGTACAACAAGGAGATGATGAAATACATCCAAGACAGCAAATTTGACGCCGTCTTCACGGATCCCTTCAATCCCTGTGGGCAGATCGTTGCTGTTCAGTTCTCCATCCCCAGTGTGTTCTTCCTGAGGGGTGTTCCGTGTAACATTGACAAACAGGCTGCTCAGGGCCCGGACCCGCCGTCCTACGTCCCACGGATGTTCTCCCTCCAGACAGACCACATGACGTTCTCCCAGAGAGTGAAGAACTTCCTGCTCTTCCTTTCCGAGTCCTTCAGCTGCAACATCGCCTTCTCCCCCTTTGAAGAGCTGGCCTCGGAGTTCCTGCACAGGCCGATGACGATGGCCCAGCTTTTAAGTCACGGGTCCGTGTGGCTGAAGAGAGTCGACTTTGCCTTTGACTATCCCATGCCCGTAATGCCCAATATGGTTTTCATCGGAGGCATCAACTGCGGACACAAGAAAGCATTGTCTGAGGTCAGTGACGGGCTGGGAGAGGGCTAACAAGGGAAGAGTTCCGGCAGTCACACACCTGTGTGATCCCAGAGTGTTTGACAGGGATCTTACCTCTCTCTCTCAGAGGACTTACAAGGGCCTGGAGTGACAGGACACAGGGAATGGCTTCCCACTGCCACAGGGCAGGGTTAGGTGGGATATTGGAAAGGAATTCTTCGCTGGGAGGGTGGCGAGGCCCTGGCACAGGTTGCCCAGAGAAGCTGTGGCTGCCCCTGGATCCCTGGAAGTGTCCAAGGCCAGGTTGGACGGGGCTTGGAGCAAGCTGGGCTAGTGGAAGGTGTCCCTGCCCATGGCGGGGGGTGGCACTGGATGAGCTTTAAGGTCCCTTCCAACCCAAACCTGGGAATCCTGGGATTCTTTGATTCTACCTAAAGGTATAATTCAGATTAAGGCTTCCTGTATCCACCTAAAAAACAGGCACAAGGATATGATCCCACCTCCTTTCTTCAGGTCTGCCCAACACAGGGCTTTTGTTTGGTGAGGGGATTGGGTGCCATGCTGTGTTTAATTCCAGCTGAAGTCAGGTACACAAGCACCATCTCAGGCAGGAATTCATGCCAAGAGGGCTGCTGGATTATAATAGCCCTTCCAACAATTCTTTGCTTTGTAAGAGGCAGGAGAATATTTCTTCAGGACCATTAGCTGCTTATCTAGTGAGAAAAATAACTCGTGCAAGAGCATCATGTGCTCTTTTATGTACCAGCAGCCTTGTGTTTGAGTCCAAGCTAATATTTTGTGGTGAAGGTTTTTGTGTGACAACATCTTCCATCACAAACACGAGGCAGCTGAATTTTCAGCTGCATTTTTAGGTTTGGATCGGGAAATGTGGGTGGGTGGTTGCCTGGGAAGCTGTGGTCCATAATGTCCTGGATTAGCTTGTTGGAGCTGGTGATGTGTGTTAGCTCCTTGCTGCATGTGATCTATATCCTTGCTTGCTTGTGCTGTAGGTAGAACAGTCTCATGTAAAGCCAGAGATTAAGTGGAAAAGGAGATATAGGAGCAGGCAGATGCTGAATCTGAGTGTCACCCAGGTGTCTCAGCAATAAATCCCTCTGTTTCCTAGAAAGGATAATGTTTTATCTTTGTGAACATGACTCCAAAATAAACAGACTCTCCTCTCTTCTTCCCTTGAACTTCTTTCACTTGCCGCCCTTCCCGGATCCTTAGGGAATGGATTCCTCCTGCCTCTCACCACTCTTCCCTCAGATTCTCAGGCCTTTGTGAACGTGAATCTTCTTTTACAAGGAAAGAGATTTGCATTTCAGAAGCCGGGCTTGTAAAATCCTCTCCAGAGCCGCCCTTCCCCGCCCTCAGGCGTTACTTCACTCCTCCCACTGATCTGCTTTTCCACAGAAGTCCCTTTCAAATTGTCGCTTTTGTCAGGGCAGTGCTTTTTCCTATCTGTTCTCTCCATCAGAGCTGCTTAACTGGCTCCTGGGGACAAACCCGGGCAGATCCTCTGGGAATGCATCCCACAGACAAGGGCATGGAGCGACTCCAGCTTAAAATCAGGCTCTGCTCGGGATACAAGGCTTACTGTCGTCTTTTCCAGGGGCTAAAGATCATAGTCCGGCAGCAATAGTTATTGCAGGAATGTTGATTCTTCACTGCTGTTCCTCCTGGAAGAAGAAAATGATGGAGAGATTTAGGTCAGGATGAGAAAGAGTTTGTGGTGCCTGACACCATCGATTTGAGGGTTTTCCTTGTTCCCGGCCCCAGGGCTGAGCTGAATGTAAATCCCAGAGCTGGATGTAAAAACTGGGCAAAAAACTGGGTTGGTTTTAGTTCTCTCTCACTCCTGCAGGTAACTTTCTGTAGAATTAGCAGGATCTGAGCATTTTTGCTCTCACAATTGGTTTTTGCAGGTTAGGTGGGAGTAGTTCATCACTGCAGTAAAGAGGCAAGACCCACCAGTGAGGGTGATCCCTCTCTTACCAGGTGTTTAAAGATAAGTGGTGTTAACTCAAACTATTTGTTTTCCTGTCACAATCGACTTTTAAAAACAATGAATCTTTTTGGTTGGTGGAACCACCCTTAAATAATTTAGAAATGAAGCATCATAACTCATCAGTTGGTAGGTAATGTTCTGGTCTCTGTATCTGCATCTGCTGCCTTCCCAAAAGCTTCCCTACAAAGGGAGCTGCAGTAGTTTGAGAGAAGTCCTTAAAAATACTCATTAAGCTCCATAGTAAATTATCCTATTGTCAAAACTAGTTCTGTGCCGTAATTTTCCTAATTAGGGCTTGTCTGCAGATCCTGCCTGTGCATTTATGTGGTTTGCTTTCATGGCCCTGGGGCAAACTCTTCCCAGACTGATCTAAAATTGTTAATTCAGTTTTAACTGTAGCTGGCAAAAGCCATCCCCGTGTCCTTCCCCCTCCCAGCCCCTACTTCATCCTTCCAACAAGAGGCTTTTCAGGGTAATGAACTGTGAGGGCCAATTTTCCATTTTCCTTGCAGTGTCACGATATAAAACTGCTGAAAAATCCAGCCTGTTTCCCATGTGAAGCTTAAATATTTTTCTAATCTTTTTTACAAATAGAAACGGTATGGACTGGCAGGAGGGGGAGGAATTTCCTTAGACTGAAAACTGTGGTTTGGAAAATTGATGTTGTGTTTTGAGCAGATTTGTTGAAGCATCCCTCATTTCCTTAAATCACAGAATATCTCCTAGGAGGGTCTGTTCTGTGATCTTCCTCCTTTCTATCCTTTTTAAAGACAGGTGCAGTGTTTCCCTTTTCCCAGTCACCTGGGACTTCACCATGACTTTCCCAATATCCTGGAGAGTGGCTCGGCAATTCCCTCAGGACTCTGGGAATATGGAGTCCCGTATGTTCGGGGGATGACCCAAGTGCATGTTTGGGTTCCTCAGGTGGTCATGAACCTGAGCTTCTCTTACAGAAGGTGGGATTTTGCTCCCCCAGCCCCATCTTGGTGTCCATCTGTTGCTGAAATTAATGTTCATTGGCTATAAATTACACAATTCCCTTCATTAATTAGTATTCTATCTTCTATTTGTTACTGATTTCTTGCTTCTCATCCTAATTAGCCCACATTTTTCAGTCTTTTCATTAACTTTTTCCCAGATAGGGAGGGGTTCAGTACAAGTGCTGAATTGTCTTGGTTAGTTTCTTCTTTATCTCGTGGTTCTGCAACCTTGTGGTCCATAAATTCTGCATTTCTTGTGTCCAGTTTGAGCAATCTCTCTCTCCCAGGCTTTGTTAACCTCCCTCTAGGTCTGAGATCGTTTCCAAGCGTATCCGGTTGCTTTAGCAAAAGGTAAATCCCGTAATTTTCCCAAACTGTGTTCCCACAAGAGCAGCTTGTGGCAAACCTTGTTAAATGCTGGCTACAGTGGCACGTGACAGAGTGGGAAATGACATTGCTTGTGATTGATTAAACCAATTCATTAGAAAATTATTAGGAAAGTTATATCCGTTCCAATACAGACATGAGGGCAGTGAGGTTGCCAGGGAAGACTGAAGCAAAAAGAGTCCCACAGGCTTCTCCTTGTCCATTATCTCCAGTTTCCCAGTCTGGCTTGGGGGGGATACACTTCCTCTGACCTTCTTTTCCTGGTAATGGACCCGTAGAAGCCCTCCATGTTTGCATCCCCTGCCAAGTTCAGCTCCAGCTGCACCTTGGACTCGCTGCTCCCCTCCCTCCCCAACCAGAGGGCATTCCTGCAAACCCAGGGCTCCTCCAATGCACAGAGGGGGGTGTTTTCCAGGGAAGCTGGTGCCCTGATCTGTACCTGCCAGACTGGCTGAACTTTAACACCCCTTATTCCATCTTTGCCACGTCCGTGATTATACATTGACCGAACAGCAAATAAGTCTAAAGATCACCCGGACAAAGCGCGGCACAGATGGCTTAAAAACACCCAACTGGGGAGGTTCTTCCTTGGAGGCTCTCACCAGGTTTCTGCAGGAATGGCCCCGGGGCTCAGTGCTCCCCCAGCAGTCACAGCCAGGCTGGTGGTGCTGCTGTCCCTGCTGGGTTTGGCTGTGGGTGGGAAGCTCCTGGTGGTGCCGGTCGATGGGAGCCACTGGCTCAGCATGAGGCAGGTGCTGGACAGTCTGTGGCAGAGGGGACACGAAATAGTTGTTGTTGCACCTGAAGTAAGTCTGTACATCAAGCCATCTGAGAGTTTTGTGATGAAATACTTTGCAGCACCCCTCACACTGGAAGAGGTGAAGAAAGAATTCCAGGCATTTTTGCAGATTTCCTTTGAGGAAGGATCTTTTCTAACAAGACTTCTTAAAGCATATGAAGGGATGAAAAGACTCGGTGAATTGTCAGTTCTCAGCTGTGAATGGCTCCTGAAAAACCAAGAGCTCCTCAGGTATCTTCAGGAGAGCCAGTTTGATGCCCTCCTCACAGACCCTGTAGTTCCCTGTGGGTTGATCCTGGCAGAGCATCTTTCTCTTCCCTCCGTGTATTTCCTACGAGCAGTCCCCTGTGGTTTGGATTTTGAAGCCACCCAGTGCCCCAAACCCCTTTCCTACATCCCCAGGGAATTTTCACAGCTCACAGACCGCATGACCTTCTTCCAGAGGGTGAGGAATTTGCTCTACGACTTCCCAAACTTTTTCATCTGTGATTTTGGCTTTCAACCCTTTGCCAAACTGGCCTCGGAGTTCCTGCATCAGGATGTGACTGTGCTGGATCTCCTGCGCCAGGGCTCCGTTTGGCTCCTGAGGGTAGAATTCGTGTTAGACTATCCCAGGCCTTTGATGCCCAACATCATTCCCATTGGAGGAGTACACTGTGCTCACAAGAAGCTGACTCAGGTGGGTCTGGTTTTGATTTGTGCTGTGGTTGATTTGTGTGTCCTGAGGGTGAAGTTTTGTGTTACAGAGAGGAATTGAGTTCCCTTTTTGGGTGCCAGTTCCCTCACAGAGTGTTTTAAATCTCTGCTCTGCCCTCTGAGCTCTCAGATCCAACCTGTCCGTGCCCTGAGGCAGGGCTGGGACACTGGGAGTGCTGCTTAGGGTGGATGGTGTGTCCTGCAGGAACCTGCCTCATCCTCCCAGCTTTTCAGTCTTCTCAGCCTAGAGAGCGATTCCAAGAGCTGTTCCACAGCCCGGGGGTCTGGGCCTCCCAGAGCTGAGTTTCCTGCGGGAGAGGCAGCAGGCCTGGCCTGGGAGAAGCCTGTGCAAGGCTGTGGTGCTGTGCAGGTGACCCATCTCCTGCAGGGGCAGAAGGCCCCTCCAGAGGGAAGGTGTCAGGAGTGCAGTCCCAGCCAGAGCTGCCCCGGCCTCCTTCCAAGGACACTCTTTATGGTTCCTCTGATAGAGAGAAGTGGGTGTGATTTGGTGATTCCACCACACAGCACCAGCCTGTGAACTTGGCTGACTTCCCTGCTGGTTCTGCAGCCTTTTATCACCTGGGTGATTACACATTCACCACCCAGCAAATAAAACAGGGATCAGCAGTGGGCTGAGGCACAGATTGCTCGGGAGCAGGGAGCCGGCGCCAGTGCTGCCGCTGGTTCCTTCCTTGGAGCCTCTCGCCAGGTTTGAGCAGGAATGGCCCCAGGAGTCAGTGCTCCCCTTCACTTCCCAGTGACACTGGTGGTGCTGCTGTCCCTGCTGGGTTTGGCTGTGGGTGGGAAGCTCCTGGTGGTGCCAGTGGACGGGAGCCACTGGCTCAGCATGAGGCAGGTGCTGGACAGTCTGCGGCAGAAGGGACACGACGTGGTCGTGGTCGCCCCTGAAGTGAGTTTGCACATCAAGCCATCCAAGAACTATGTGATGAAAATGTACCCAGTGCCTTTCACACAGGAAGAGATGGAGAAAGAATTCCAGGCATTTTTTCATCTTTCATTTGAAGAAGGATCTTTTCTGTCTCGATTTCTTAAAGTGTATGAAGCGTCGAAAAGAATCAGTGCCTTTGGGGTCTCCAGCTGCAAAGAGCTCCTTCAAAACCAAGAGCTCATCAAGTACCTTGAGGAGAGCCAGTTTGATGCCCTCCTCACAGACCCTGTCCTACCCTGTGGGTCGATCCTGGCAGAGCATCTTTCCCTTCCCTCCGTGTATTTCCTCCGAGGAATCCCCTGTGGTTTGGATTTTGAAGCCACCCAGTGCCCCAATCCCCCTTCCTACGTTCCCAGGATATTTACGGACCACACAGACCACATGACCTTCTTCCAGAGGGTGAGGAATTTGCTCTACGACTTCCCAAATGTTTTCCTCTGTGATTTTGCCTTTCAACCCTTTGCCAAACTGGCCTCGGAGTTCCTGCATCGGGATGTGACTGTGCTGGATCTCCTGCGCCAGGGCTCCGTTTGGCTCCTGAGGGTAGAATTTGTGCTAGACTATCCCAGGCCTTTGATGCCCAACATCATTCCCATTGGAGGAGTACACTGTGCTCACAAGAAGCTGACTCAGGTGGGTCTGGTTTTGATTTGTGCTGTGGTTGATTTGTGTGTCCTGAGGGTGAAGTTTTGTGTTACAGAGAGGAATTGAGTTCCCTTTTTGGGTGCCAGTTCCCTCACAGAGTGTTTTAAATCTCTGCTCTGCCCTCTGAGCTCTCAGATCCAACCTGTCCGTGCCCTGAGGCAGGGCTGGGACACTGGGAGTGCTGCTTAGGGTGGATGGTGTGTCCTGCAGGAACCTGCCTCATCCTCCCAGCTTTTCAGTCTTCTCAGCCTAGAGAGCGATTCCAAGAGCTGTTCCACAGCCCGGGGGTCTGGGCCTCCCAGAGCTGAGTTTCCTGCGGGAGAGGCAGCAGGCCTGGCCTGGGAGAAGCCTGTGCAAGGCTGTGGTGCTGTGCAGGTGACCCATCTCCTGCAGGGGCAGAAGGCCCCTCCAGAGGGAAGGTGTCAGGAGTGCAGTCCCAGCCAGAGCTGCCCCGGCCTCTGTCCAGGGACACTCTTTATGGTTCCTCTGATAGAGAGAAGTGGGTGTGATCTGGTGATTCCACAACACAGCACCAGCCTGTGAACTTGGCTGACTTCCCTGCTGGTTCTGCAGCCTTTTATCACCTGGGTGATTACACATTCACCACCCAGCAAATAAAACAGGGATCAGCAGTGGGCTGAGGCACAGATTGCTCGGGAGCAGGGAGCCGGCGCCAGTGCTGCCGCTGGTTCCTTCCTTGGAGCCTCTCGCCAGGTTTGTGCAGGAATGGCCCCAGGAGTCAGTGCTCCCCTTCACTTCCCAGTGACACTGGTGGTGCTGCTGTCCCTGCTGGGTTTGGCTGTGGGTGGGAAGCTCCTGGTGGTGCCAGTGGACGGGAGCCACTGGCTCAGCATGAGGCAGGTGCTGGACAGTCTGCAGCAGAAGGGACACGACGTGGTCGTGGTCGCCCCTGAAGTGAGTTTGCACATCAAACCATCCAAGAACTTTGTGATGAAAATGTACCCAGTGCCTTTCACACAGGAAGGGATGGAGAAAGATTTCCAGGCATTTTTGCAGATTTCCTTTGAGGAAGGATCTTTTCTGACAAGATTTCTTAAAACATATGAAGGGATGAAAAGACTCGGTGAATTGTCAGTTCTCAGCTGTGAATGGCTCCTGAAAAACCAAGAGCTCCTCAGGTATCTTCAGGAGAGCCAGTTTGATGCCCTCCTCACAGACCCTGTAGTACCTTGTGGGTTGATCCTGGCAGAGCATCTTTCCCTTCCCTCCGTGTATTTCCTCCGAGGAGTCCCCTGTGGTTTGGATTTTGAAGCCACCCAGTGCCCCAATCCCCCTTCCTACGTTCCCAGGGGGTTTTCACAGCTCACAGACCACATGACCTTCTTCCAGAGGGTGGGGAATCTGCTTTTCGACCTCCCAAATGTTTTCCTCTGTGATTTTGGCTTTCAACCCTTTGCCAAACTGGCCTCGGAGTTCCTGCATCGGGATGTGACTGTGCTGGATCTCCTGCGCCAGGGCTCCGTTTGGCTCCTGAGGGTAGAATTCGTGTTAGACTATCCCAGGCCTTTGATGCCCAACATCATTCCCATTGGAGGAGTACACTGTGCTCACAAGAAGCTGACTCAGGTGGGTCTGGTTTTGATTTGTGCTGTGGTTGATTTGTGTGTCCTGAGGGTGAAGTTTTGTGTTACAGAGAGGAATTGAGTTCGTATTTAGGGTGAGTTTGGTGAATACTTATGAAAGAAATTTCTCTCCCACTTTCTCCCTCATTTTCCACTTGTAGGCCTCTGTACCTTCTCACTTATAAACACGCTGAGATAATGCCTTTTTTTCTATGCATATTCAAAGCTAATTTGTGGAACATCCTGTAGTTTTTTTCTCCCTTAGTGAGGGACGAACCAGCCAGAGGCAAATCCATGGGGCTGTGAAAGCCTTGCAGTCAGGTGTAATCCCTACAACTCAGCAAATGTTTGTAAAAGGGCCTCGTGTTTACTGACAAATGTACATCAACCTTCTGTCCTTGTGGCCTCACGATGTCTTTCTTTGTCAGTGAGTTTGCTTCTTTCTTTGTCAGTGATTTGCTCCTTCACAGGGGTATTCCCAGAGCTGGAATCTCGAGGAATGTGGCAGATTGTGGGCTCTCGGGTTAAGCAGCACCGTCTCTGTTTGCAGGGCAGGTCTCCCAGGGGTTTGACTTGATCATGGCAGTGTGAGCTCTGAGAACAAATTCAGTGAGCCTCGAGGAGCTGTGTTTGCTTGGCAGGTCCTGCTCAAAGGTGACAAAGCTTTTACTACAGAAACACAAGAGGCTTATCTGGAGCACCCACCTCATTTATCAGATTGCTGAGCTCTGCTGCCGGTTCTACAGCCTTTTATCACCAGTGATTACAGATTTACCACACAGCAAACAGCTGAGGGGTCAAAAGTCGGGCTGAGGCACAGATTGCTCGGGAGTGCGGAGTGGGTGCCAGTGCTGCCGCTGGTTCCTTCCTTGGAGGCTCTCACCAGGTTTGTGCAGGAATGGCCCCGGGAGTCAGTGCTCCCCTTCACTTCCCAGTGACACTGGTGGTGCTGCTGTCCCTGCTGGGTTTGGCTGTGGGTGGGAAGCTCCTGGTGGTGCCAGTGGACGGGAGCCACTGGCTCAGCATGAAGGAGGTGCTGGACAGTCTGCGGCAGAAGGGACACGACGTGGTCGTGGTCACCCCTGAAGTGAGTTTGCACATCAAGCCATCCAAGAACTACGTGATGAAAATGTACCCAGTGCCTTTCACACAGAAAGAGATGGATGAAGATTTCCAAGGATTTACAAAGGACTTGTTTGAAGGGGGATCTTTTCTGGCGAGAGTCATTAGGCTTTATCAGCGGTCAAAGAAAACCTCTGCTCTGTTCCTGGCCACCTGCACACACCTGCTCCACAACAAGGAGCTCATCAATTACCTTGAGGACAGCAAGTTTGATGCCATCCTTACAGACCCCATTCTCCCCTGTGGGCAGATCCTGGCAGAGCATCTCTCGGTCCCCTCCGTGTATTTCTTGCAGCAAATCCCCTGTGCTCTGGAATATCAAGCCACCCAGTGCCCCAACCCCCCTTCCTACGTCCCCAGGGTCTTTACAGGCTACACAGACCACATGACCTTCCTCCAGCGGGTCATGAATGTGCTCTATGACATCCCCAATTTTTTTCTCTGCGACGTTGTCTTCCAACCGTATGCCAGACTGGCCTCGGAATTCCTGCGTCGGGACGTGACCGTGCCGGATCTCCTCCGCCAGGCTTCCATCTGGCTCATGAAGATAGACTTTGTCTTGCACTACCCAAAGCCCTTGATGCCCAACATGATTTTGGTTAGTGGAGTAAACTGTGCTTCCAAGCAGCTCAGCCAGGTGGGTCACGCTCTGGTTTTCCCTGCGGGGTTGGAGTGGCTCCGAGGAGCTGCAGCGCAGGGTGTGTCCGAGTCCTCGGGCTGTGGGCAGGGGGCAGGAGGATTTCAGACTGCTTTTGTTCTGCACTGCTGGCAGTGAAGGCATCGAAGGTAGAGGTGGAGGGAGTGCTGTACATGGAATTAGCTCTGGGAAGTGCTGTGCCTCTGCTCCAAGCCACCTCTGGCACTGGAGGGGTGTCCCAGCACCTCTTCCCTCAGGGCTGTTTGGTCTGAGACCTTCACTCATCCTCTGATCCGACTTGACTGATTTCCTCTACATTCCTGTATCTGTTCTTTAAGGGTGGATTCTCTGTGCTTTGAATTGTCAGAGACTCATGAAAAAAAACTTCCTCTGCTTTGGAATGTCATTTGAGGCCCCTCGGGGAACCTCCTGAGCGTGTCCAGTTAGGTCAGGCTGGTCCTTCCTCTGCCTTGCTGAGTTTTGAGTGTCTCCTACGTCCCTTATACCAAACACACTTCATCATATTAATTAATTCTGTATCCAGTTCAGATTTTCCACGTTGCAGCTTTGCCACTGTCAATCTCACATTCAACTTTTTATTATTTTTTATTTTATTATCCCAAGCCAGCAGCAGAACTTTGTTTTTCCCTTTGCTGGCTTTCCTGATGCTGCTATTGACTCATTTTCCCAACTTGTGGCATTCTTTTTCCATATCCCAGGGCCAGTGGCACTCCTTATTTAAAGTATTAACTGGCATAATTAAAATGAAGTATAAGTTATTCTTCTAGAATGATTCTTGGATTTATTTCAGCCTTTTTTTTAATGTGTTTTCAAATCTACTTTGTGGTTTGCAGAGTAACTTCTATTTTTAGTAATAACTCTTCCTGCTGAGTTTTTCAGATATTGGCTTTGCCAAGTGGGTGAGATGAGGTTGATTTTTCGGGAAAAGCTGAATCTCACACAGTAAAAATGAAGCATTTTTAAAGAGGATTCAAACTTGGCTCTCAAGTCTAGAAGAGATGGAGATGGAATAAAGTGTCCTGCTAAACCTTGTATAAAATCTGGAAAAGCTAAGGGTGGAAGGGGGACTGACAGGCAGTTTCTCCCAATATTTGACCTGTGACTAACACTGAAATGCAAACAAAAAGGAGAATTTTTCCACACCATGCACTATAAAAACCCCAAGTCAACCCCTCAAAAGCAGCAGATTATCTATTTTTCATAGACAAAACCTGGGAATTTAAAAAGGATTTGGGTGGTTATAAGAGGTGCAGGCTGACTGCCAGGATTTATAGGCTTACAAGAGGGATAATCATGGATTCCCCTCTCTGGGATATTTGCTGGACCATTCCCAGCCCACAGCCTTGGCACTCAACCCTGCACTTTGGCTTTACTTCCCCCTCTATCTCCTTCCACCCTTGCTTTTGGAACAGGCAGGACTTGTGGACTTCAGACTCATAAACACGCGAAAGGCTGTTCCTGTGTTGCTCAAAATCCAGTGTCACAACTTCCATGAACTCTTTTTGAACTTTTATGAACTTTCCTAAAACTTTTATGACCTTTTTTTTGAAACTGTTATGAGCCTCGAGGGTTTGGGTTGGGTTTTGTTACCTCTTCAGTGGTGTTTTATAGCGTTTTGTTTTAGTGTCTCACAGATGATCCATGTTTGGCTGAACAACTGTGTGTCAAATATGAGATGTGAGGGGCCTGTCTGTAGGGTAAGAGTATGTCTGCAACTCTGAGTTTACTACATGAGTAAGTACTGCCATCTTAA